CCCTGTGCCACCCCTGTGTCCCTGTGCCACTCTCCATGTCCCTCTGCCATTCTCCATGTTCCTGTGCCACTCCCCACATCATCCCTGTGCCACCCCTGTGTCCCTGTGCCACCCTTGTGTCCCTTGTGCCACCCTTGTGTCCCTTATGCCACCCCCCGTGTCATCCCTGTGCCACCCCCTGTGTCCATGTGCCACCCCCCGTGTCCCTGTGCCATTCCCCCTGTGCCACCCCCGTGTCCCTGCACCACCCCCTGTGCTGTCCCTGTGCCATCCCCCCGTGCCACTCCCCGTGTCCCTGTGCCACCCCCGCGCTGTCCCCAGGTGCCCAGGTCGGGGACCCCCTGTGCTGCCACATCTTCACCAAGGCTGGCGAGGTCCTGGCGCGCCACGTGGTGGCCGTGCTGCCCAAAATCGACCAGGTGAGAGCTCACCTGGGGTTTAGAGGGAGGTGACACGGGCTCAGGGATGTCCCTGTGTCACCAAAGTCCCCTCCTGACAGAGCCTGTTCCTGGGCGAGCTGGGGCTGCCCATCGTCTGCGTGGGCTCGGTGTGGAACAGCTGGGAGCGGATGCAGTCGGGTGAGCGCGGGGGCACGGAGGGGTTTTGGGGTATCCTAGAGGGGTTTTGGGATCCCCTAAAACCCCCCCGGTGTGTCAGGGTTTATCCAGGTGCTGGCACAGGCGCGGGATGAGGCTCCGGGCCGCGTTTTCTCGCGGTTCAGCCTGCTCAAGTTGAAGCGCTCGTCGGCGCTGGGCGGAGCCCGGCTGGGAGCGCGCAACGTGGGGATGGCGCTGCCGCTGGACCGCGCCGGCAACGTGGATGTGTTCTACACGCACGTGTTCTGACGGGAGCGACCCCAAAAACGCGAGGAGCGCCCCAAAAATCGGGGAGGGCACCCCCGGAAACGGGGAGAGCGCCCCTGAAAATGGGGGGAGCCCCGCGAGCGCTGGCGGGCGGGGCCGGCCCGGGGGGTTTGTGGTTTGGCAATAAAACGGTTGCACTGCCCCAAGGGGAGTGGGGATGGGGCGGGA